CCGTTTTCTTAAGGTTTTTTTTTTTTTTTTAAAGGCATCGTCTGGTGCTCCTCCTTTTTGTTCTTTATGGTCCATCGTCTGGGTAGCCAACTCCCGCCGACGCACTGCAATCTGTTTCATACATGAGTACACTTCTCTGTTACTGAGTGCTTGGTATGAGTCGTGACGTACATCACATGAACTGATGGTACGTTCTAATCAGACATAATCTGATAGCGGGCAATGATTGTTCATCGTCTGGTTCATGTCCTCACCTTTTTTTTTTTTTTTTTTTTAATCATTTTCTTCGGTTGTCATTGCCATCTATCCAGATAGATATTCATTCGCCCATCCCCTACGACAGGACCGCTATAACTTTTAGGTGTATAGAAAAAAAAAAGAAAAAACTTACAACAACAAACACTCAAGCACACACATATAGCCTCGACACCAACTATGAATCAAGGTATGTCAAATATCTAATACATTAATACCATACAAATTACCTAAATTTCACACATTCCAACACTAACAGATGTGATAAACACAAACACCCTAAAAAGTATCACACAAACACACACACTAATCTTGACACATGCACACAAATACTCCTTTTTTTTCATGCAACAATCACCCACTTCTAAACCTCACCAATAACGCCTCCTTTATCAATCAAGCTGCACACCCGTGCCCTCACGGTAAGTCAATTTCTACTGTCATTTGTGTTCGTGGCGCTAGGGCCGCGAGGGACACCTCAAAGACATAACGAAAAAAATGGAAACCCTGTCAACCCTCTACCCTTCCCCCAGAAAGTTGGCGATTTTTTTCATTTATTTTGGAGGATTTTTCTATATCCGTGGCGCTCCAGTTCTTCGTCCGTGGTCCATGACAGATCTGGCCTCTCGGAAGGGATTCCAGTTCTTTGGCTCGTGGTGCCATTTTCGAACCTTGCCTCCCCCCAAGGACGCGTTCACCCCCATGAGAAATCGCCTGTGCAACCGAGAAAACCCCGTCCCCGACGGGCCTCTGGGATCCCCAAAACAATTTACGACCCGTTCGCTGCGGGCGCGACTTTCTGGTACTCTTTACTACTTTTTGGTAAAAGTACACTGGGGGATCAGCCCCTCACGCAGCCGAGTGGGTATCCGCTGGCTAGAGGCGCGGTACCGTCACGCGAAACTCTTGGGCGGGGGCGGGGGCGGGGGCGGGGGCAAGGTCCCACTTGCGCAAATTAGGAGATTTCGGCCGTTGATCCTTGCTATCTACGGTCAGAATTTCTTAATTCGTACAAGTGGGACCTAGCCTCGAGGAAGAATAGTGCCAAGGTTGTGGAAGAAAACAAATAGAGGTGGATTTGGGCGGGGAAGAAAACAAATTAGAGGTGAAAGGAGAGGGGCTGAACGATCGAGTGAAGGTAAGCGGGAGGGGACCAGGTAGCTAGCGAACAAGGCCAGGGTCGCCCGTCAAGCTGACGCACGTACGAAACGGTCGTACACAGGTGTAGCAAACAAGCGAAGTAGACCAGTAGTAAAGTTGGCCAGGTGGCACTTGGAAGTGTGGTCCCTGGGGCAAGGTCCCACTTGCTCAAATTAAGAGATTTCAGCCGTCGATCTTTGCTATCTACGGTCAGTATCTCTTCCATTTCGTGCAAGTGGGACCTAGCCCCTGGTAGTACAACACCGCCGTACACAGGAACGGGGCAGAAGTAGTTTCTGGGCCCACTCCTGTCTGGCTTTTCCTCGTCGAGGAGCCAGCTCGCTCACTCCCCACCAGCCAGCCAGCCAGCCAGCCAGCCATCCATCCATCCAGCCAGCCAGCCAGCCATCCAACCCAGCTACCTGGTAGCCAGCCGACCCACCCAGCAGCCCAAGGTTCAAAGGAAGCAACCAACGAGTGAGTGGTTCTCTGCGGTAGGTTTATTAGCGCACAAACTTCGTCGCCGGATTCGCCCATCAGCACATCAGCACAGTGAGCCTTAGGGCCGAGGGGGCGTGGGGCGTGCGGGGCGTGGACTTTGGGGGAGCGGTGGTGCTTTGGGGGTGGGATGGGATGGGATGGGATGGATGGGATGGGGTGGGAAGGTTTCTGCCTTCTGTGTAGAACACGCTTGGATCAGTGAGGTGGACTAACTGGACCCCACGGACGGGACTGTCAACGGGCAGAAGAGACTGACTGCGACGGTCTCTGAAATCAAAACAAAATTATCGTTCGTTCGTGTTTTAGCGAGGGGAACGAGGAAGAGGAGGGAGGGAGAGACGTGGGTGGACTGGCTTGGCTGCCTTTGGCAATGAGCGCGAGCGGAACGTTGTTTGACCTGCTGTCGTCCGATCTGGAGAGCTGGGCCGCACCGCATTTCTCTGCCTGCCATATGTTAGTCATTGCTGGTAGAGGCGTGTTGCTCTCGGAGGCAAAGCGACCTTCCTTACACACACACACAACAAAGCACCACTACCCTTGCTCTGCCATTGCTGTGCTGGCCGTTGATCTCGTAGTTAGTAGCATACGCGGTCGCGGATCGTGTACAACCCCGCCCCGTCCTCCGCCCCCGCCCCCCTCCTTACAAGGTTGAAGAGAGGGCAAGGGAAGAGGTGACTGACGAACTGGTTAGGGAGGTTTGGGCGGCAACTTGTGCGACGTCGAGGAGGGACAGGAAGTAGTCCGTTCGATGGTGGGGCCGGCGGTGTTGACGTCGCACAAAAACAAGGATGATAAGGATGGTCGGGAGTGTCGAAGCTACCGGTAGTGGCGAAGCTAGTTAAAGCTCGGATACGGAACTGAGATCTGACTGATCTGGCAGCAGAGCTAAACNAGGGTACGACATTGCGAGTGCCGAGGTTCTTGACGTGCAAGTAGGAAGGGCCAACTCCAGAAGGTGGCCCCAAAGGCTAAAACCCTAAAAGTTTTAAAACCCTAACACCCTAGACCCTCTAAAACCCTGGAACCCTCTCTGGAACCCTCTAAAACCCTGGAACCCTGAAACCTTAAAACCCTCAAAGAATACCAAATAACCACCTTGAATGACTCGCTCTTTATGTGACCAATCGGACAAATATGTAAATATAACTTCATATATGGCTGATATCTCCGCTGAGCTCTCTCGATTGTTTGTACTGAATTGGGATAATACAATTAATTTAATTAAATAAATTGCATAAAACTATTTACTGTCAGTGGTGCGTGGAGTGGCGAGGACCAGTGTGCAGGGGGATGGTTTGCGAGGGGAAGGGGGGAGGAGGGGGGGGAGGAAGGGAGGGGGGTTACGGAAGAGGAAGTCGGGGTTGTGGATTCCTCCCCCCCCCCCCCCCCCCCCTCTCTCACTCTCTCTCTCTCTCTCTCTCACGGACACACACACACGGACGCGCAGACACACAGACACACACACTATTACACACACGCGGGGGGGGGAGGGGAAGAGGAGCCTGCCGAGGTGGAGGGGGAAGTGAGCGGAAGAGGTGGGGGAGCAGGAGGAAAGGGGTGCGCGGACGAAGTGAATCTCTTTGGGCATCGCCGAAAACGGTGGGCGTGTGTGTTGCCTGAGGGAGGAAGAGGGCGCTAGCAGTATGCTGCATAAGGAGTTTTGCGACATGGAGTTGGTGTTCGTGAACACGTTGCTTTGTCTGTCGGATTGACCCGTGCGATGATGAATGGCCGGCGGCGAGCATTGCAGATATCAGCTCTGTGGAAGGAGAGAGCCAAAATTATTGGAATTGGAGAGGGGAGGGGGGAACGCGGAAAAAAGAGAGCAGCAGCAGCGGCAATCGACGGCAAGGGGGGACGTGTGAATTAGATCAAAGAGGTTGCCAAGGGCGACGGGCAGGAGGCGTAGAGAAGTTATACAAGGTCAGACCGAGGATCACATAGGGGAGGGCAGAAGACAGGAGGAGGAGGCCGAAGAAGGGGGAAGAAGCAGTCGCAGCGGTAGGAGGTAGAGGGGGAGGAACAATGTCAGGAAGGTGAGGCGGATGCTGAGACAGAGAGCAGGAGTGGGTGGGGGCGGAGTAACGGCAGCAGCAGCAGCAGCGCCCAAGCGGTGCAGTGGTCGAGACACTGGATGAATGTATTATATATGAATATATGAATGAACGAAGCAGGTCCTCGAGTGGTCCAACAACCCAGGTCGCTGGGTGCCGCCCGACTAGATAATAATTTTTGTACGCAAAAAGCGGGCAAATTGGGAAGTTGACATCGTTGTCGGGGTGCGACGAGGAAGAGAGAAGGGACGGACAAGATTACAATGGGAGGATGGGGGGGTTCAGCAGAAAGAGGATAGGGAAGTAAAGGAGATGACGGGTTAACGAACGTGGGAGATGAAGTACTGTACTACTGGTGCGCATGTCCACGGCCCCGCTTCCTTCTGCCCCCCCTCCCCCCCCTCGCCGCTGTTTGATCGCGACAGGATCTGCCTCCTGTAAGTGATGACGAGGAGGAGGAGAATCGGAGAGAGGTAGTAGGTACTGCTGGCCGTAGGTGAGAGAGGGGGATCATCCGTATCAGAGCGCTGACGGATAAGGAGTAAGCTAAGGGCCATCGAAGGCGGACTTCATTGGGGGCCATCGAAGGCGAGCAGGGCTTCATTGGGGGGAGAAAGGAGGTGATTTGCTCGTGCGTTCGTGAGGAGACAGGTTGTAGTGAGGGATCTCTGCGGTTACGCCGTCACTTTTCAAGAGAGATTGGGTGGCGAGTGGGGTGGGTGGGATTTTATAAGGAGGGGCAGGGAGTCGACTTTCATATAACATCTCTCTCTCTCTCTATATATATATATATATACATACTACAGCAAGCCTTCAGCATCATCCATACCAGTCATTCCCCATGCCAACCGGAAGAAGATGGTGTGGGTGTGCCGCAAGGCATCAATGCAAGTGTGAAGGAAAAGGGGGGGGGGGGCGGGGGGGGGGGGGGGGGGTGATCGGACCGTTGTCCGCGGGAGCAATGGCGGTGCCGAGGTTGGTCGGGATCTGCCCGACGATGGGAGGCAACGAAGGTGAAGTAGAAGCTCACAAGGGTATGATGGGGGGGAGTGGAGGGGGGAGTGGAGGGGAGGAGGGAGCGCTAATACTAAGTCGAGTGCAGGAGGGGAAGAAGACGGGAGGGAGAGAAATTGCGCAGGGAGGGAGGGAGAAAGGCGGATCATCGATTTTCCCATCTCCCCCCTGCAGTGGCCGTAAGAGGCGAGGTTTGTTCTCTAGGCGCGGGAGCAGGAGGGGAGAGTCAGCGGAAGGCGGCGGTGGAGAAGCGGAAGAGGGGAAGGAAATTGCAGCAGGAGGAGAGTGGGCACTCGTCAACAGCAGTGGAGGGCATGAGAGAAGGAAGACGGGAGGGAGGAGGACAGCTCAAGGGGCAGCCAAGGAGAGAGGCAGATCAGTAGCAGCAGCGTCTTCACCCCCTTTAGTTTCGGTTTCTCCTGGCTGTTGCAGGAAGCGTGGCTTGGTATCTACCCCTCCCCCCTCTCATCAAACTCGAGTGCAGCCGGGTGAAAAAGCCCCAATGACCACCAGCCCTCCTCAGCCGCCGGGTCCCGTGGGACTAACTGGGCCCGACGCTGGTGGTGGTGGAGATAGCGACGAGGAGCCCAAGCGATTGAAGCTGGTGTGCATGGAGTCGGAATCTGGCGGGCAAGGGTTTGTATCCGGTGACGATCTGTCCATCCAGAGCAAGATTGGGCGCAATCATAGGCGCATGACGTCGGAGAACGGGGGATCGAGTCCGGCGCAAAAGATTCAGGTGAAGATGCAGGCAGCGGGGGCGGTGGAAGCCGAGCGGCAAGCGGGGAGTGAAGGGGATGCTGGTGGTGATGACGAGAGTGAGGGGGAGGAGAGTGAGAGAAAGGAAGTGTGCGATCGGCCGCGGCAGGAGCAACAACTGCAGTCCACGGGACTCGATCCCGAAGTGTCGCGCTTGAAAAGACAGCGGTCATCGGGGATGACGGCCATGATGGCCGTGGCAGATTCGAATGGGGGTGGTGGCAGTGGTGGTGGTCCTCCCGATGCAGCGGCGGTGATGGCGGCGGATCTTCCCCCTTCCCCTCCTCATGTTCGGTCGAAATGGAGAGAGCGCTCTCGTCGGAGATCTACGTCTCACGCGAGCGCGAAAGATCGCGCTGCGCAGGGAGTAAAGCTGGAGGCTAAGAGGGAGCAGGAGGGGGCGCGAGAGAAGGGTAGGGGTAGGAAGATTGTGGGGGGGATCACGGGAAGGGTAGCTTTGTCGGGGCAGGTGACTTTGGAGCGGTTCTGCCATCAGTGCGACGTATGCGGTCAGCATTTCGCCACAGCCGCGGGAGTGAAGCGACACCAGCGAATCAAGCACGGGAAACAAGCCGCGGAGGGGGTGACGGGCGGGCGGGACCCGGCGGAGCTCGGCGCAGGAGCCGCGGATGAGGGGGAGAAGGCGGTGGATCCTGCACCCGGCGCGCGGAAGCGGAAGGCGGGAGCCATAGCGCCCAAGGAACTCGTGGGACAAGGAGGGGGGCCAGATGGCGATGCGCGGCGGGAGGGGTCCGGCTTTGGCGGGGGGGCTGCTGCGCAATCGCCGTGGAGAGCGAGCGCAACGGCGCAAGCTCGAGTCGGACGAGGAGGGGGACGGAGGAGAAATGCAGTTGGTGAGGGGCCGTCAATGAGAGCACAGGCGCGGAAGCAGCAACAGGTTGCGGCGTTGTACGCGTCAGCGAGCGGGAAGGGGGAGCATGGCAGATGCGGAGGGAGCAGTGGAGGGGGGGGGGCGCGACAAGGGGGGGGGGGGGGGGGGGGGGGGGGGGGGGGGGG